GTGAATTATTAACAGGAATTTACAAATGGAGTTTACCATGTAAGCAACTTAATTTTAATCCAGATTTATTTATTTCATTTAATAAAGAGAATACATTTTTATTAAAATTGTATGAATCAAAAACTAAATTGTTTAATTACCTGTTTTAAAAACACACATACTAGTTATATTAATTAAATGGATAAATGTATAAAAAATTGTATTTTCTGTATTAAACTTGATAAAATATTCTAATTAAATTATATTAAGTTACAAGTTAAATAAAAATTTCTTAAATAAAAATATGTTTTATTACAAAAATATATTTTATAAAATAGATTAATTAATTTGTTATATTAAAAGCAACATGTTAAATGACAATTGCTACGAAGTACACAACAAAACTATACTATTTATCTGCTTACAAACTAATGTTTTAATACAATCTATTAGTTTATTATTATTAAATACAGTGCACGGCGACATATCACCAGGCTTCTTATTAACTGAATAAAAGTAACGTGTTAAAAATTAATATTAATTGTCATATATATATTGTAAGTTTATTTATACAGGTACACTACAATAGTTTACACTCATAAATTGATGTTGATATTATACACACAATTACTAAATACAATATTGTAAAACAGATTTTTATAAATAATATTTTGTAACATTATTAATTCTTATTTTTTTTATAATATTTAAAATGTAACAATAAAAAAATGAATTTTTTGATTTATTTATTTTATAATGATAGAAATTGTTACTTATATAAAAGTGTTTTTAAATTGAGCTCAATAATTTTTAATAACAATATTGATAACAACGATAGTATCTGTAAAAAGATAATTAAATATAATTTTATTATATAATTTAAAATTGTCACCAACCTCATAACATCGAAAGTAATTAATAGTAAATAACTTCCAACACGTGAAACCAACATGTTTCTTGGCCATTCTCTCGATTAAATCGCTTAGCTAGGCAAAGTTTAAAAATTATTAATTTATCATTATAGAATATATATAAATTATAAATGCTCATACTTTAAATTTGTGAACCAGATTCATACACCTTTTCTGGACACCATTTATAGCCATAATTGAATTCATTAAATTGTACGATTTATTAGCCTCGGTGTTTAGTTCAGAGGCTGAAAATATTATGATTAAAAATAGTGTCAAATCTAATACTAGTATATAATTGTAGACCATTTTTAGCACAAAATGCATTGAAATGAATAGCGAATTAAATAACAGTATAATAGTCGCCGATCCGAAAGAGCACCAAAAGCACAGCAATATTTTGGACCAATAGGTGGCGTTATATTCATTAATCTCTGAGTATATTGTGTTGAATGAGTGGAAAATATTTTCCATTTCCCACACCTCCGGGGGTCTGGACTTATACTCCCGGAGGTGTCTATGAATAGTTCGCAGTCGGAGTTTAAGGTATAGGCATATAATGTAGAAATAGCCCAATGAGTATAGTAGGTATTGCCAAAAATAATATGCCCATGCTGCAAATAGTAGTCCATTGGGTATACCAAATAAAAGTACATCCGTAAGGGATGTACACATTATGTATGGTATGGTATTGACAAACATAGCCTGTAGTGGTATAACATATACACTATTTATTATCGCAAATCTAGCCAATAGTCTCGTACGTCTAATAAGTAGCATAACCTCTGACTTACGGGTCAGGCCTACGGCACCGGGAGTTATCAAACCGGACATCATTTGAAATACTTTCAGAAAAGTCGGTTTTATATTATTCATGTAGTTATAAAAGTATATGTATTGAGTATTCATAACATTAAAAGCAAACAGGGTGAAATATATGTTGGTTAGTTTGCTTACGCCAATAAAATAGGCATAGTCACCCAATATAATAGCGCTAGTCTCGTTACAATAAAATAAACAAATAACCCTGTTTATGTAAAATATTATTAAAGTAATGAAACCAAAAATTGGCTTATTAAACCACTTTCTATAATCAAGGTTATATTGGGTTTCAAACAAATCCAAACCTATTTTATACAAATGTATTGAAGCCTTTTTATAGACAATTTTGGGGTCCAATAACTTATTAGGGTCAAAATGATTCATAATGTCAAAAAGTTTTTATAGTAAAATATACTCTAGAAATAATATAATCACTTTAGAAATATCAATAATAAAATAACATATAAATCCATAATGTCAGTTATATAATTAACATGTACGTAATACGGTATATTTATGTGTAAATTATATAGTAAACATATTTCTAAAAAATATTTTATTGTAAACAATAATTATTTTAATAAACTAGTAATAAAATAATAATTAATTAATTTTAATGATTAGTTTTCTCATTAAGATCTAAATAACTTTATTTTGTGCTTACTTTTTGGTTAATAATTATTTCAAGTAATATATTATATTAGGTGAAACAGAAAGTCCGTGGAATTTTTATCTTATCTTCTCATTTCAAGAGACGTGTTTGAAGGTTTATCTATTGCGAACGCGTTCACCGGTATCTGGGTAATCCCACTGTTATATAAAATTATGTGTGTAATATTATTTAGTTGCCTAAACGAATGTGAGCTTAATGTTTCCGAGAATATGTAAAATGACAACACATTCAAGCATTCATTAACTATATGTTTAGAAATACTGATATCATTAGTATATACTATTTACTAATGAACAATTTAATTACAATATATAGTATAACATAATTAGAAAAAATATTTTTTGTATTGGATTTCATACTCAAAAACAATATAATTATATATATATTAGGTGAAACAGAAAGNATCAAGTAAAACATTTATCTTGATAAAAGCCCTTTGTTCTTCGAGGGTGACACTATCTCGAAGTTGGTCCAAATTTTGGGCCTTCATATAAAAGGTCACCAAAACTAAATAGATGAACGCAATTAAATGTAACGCCATTTATTCTAATCTACACTAACTAGTCTACAATAATTAACAACCACAAGGTCCATCTGACTCAGCATTTTGAAATGAGAAGATAAGATAAAAATTCCACGGACTTTCTGTTTCACCTAATATAATATATTACTTGAAATAATTATTAACCAAAAAGTAAGCACAAAATAAAGTTATTTAGATCTTAATGAGAAAACTAATCATTAAAATTAATTAATTATTATTTTATTACTAGTTTATTAAAATAATTATTGTTTACAATAAAATATTTTTTAGAAATATGTTTACTATATAATTTACACATAAATATACCGTATTACGTACATGTTAATTATATAACTGACATTATGGATTTATATGTTATTTTATTATTGATATTTCTAAAGTGATTATATTATTTCTAGAGTATATTTTACTATAAAAACTTTTTGACATTATGAATCATTTTGACCCTAATAAGTTATTGGACCCCAAAATTGTCTATAAAAAGGCTTCAATACATTTGTATAAAATAGGTTTGGATTTGTTTGAAACCCAATATAACCTTGATTATAGAAAGTGGTTTAATAAGCCAATTTTTGGTTTCATTACTTTAATAATATTTTACATAAACAGGGTTATTTGTTTATTTTATTGTAACGAGACTAGCGCTATTATATTGGGTGACTATGCCTATTTTATTGGCGTAAGCAAACTAACCAACATATATTTCACCCTGTTTGCTTTTAATGTTATGAATACTCAATACATATACTTTTATAACTACATGAATAATATAAAACCGACTTTTCTGAAAGTATTTCAAATGATGTCCGGTTTGATAACTCCCGGTGCCGTAGGCCTGACCCGTAAGTCAGAGGTTATGCTACTTATTAGACGTACGAGACTATTGGCTAGATTTGCGATAATAAATAGTGTATATGTTATACCACTACAGGCTATGTTTGTCAATACCATACCATACATAATGTGTACATCCCTTACGGATGTACTTTTATTTGGTATACCCAATGGATTACTATTTGCAGCATGGGCATATTATTTTTGGCAATACCTACTATACTCATTGGGCTATTTCTACATTATATGCCTATACCTTAAACTCCGACTGCGAACTATTCATAGACACCTCCGGGAGTATAAGTCCAGACCCCCGGAGGTGTGGGAAATGGAAAATATTTTCCACTCATTCAACACAATATACTCAGAGATTAGTGAATATAACGCCACCTATTGGTCGAAAATATTGCTGTGCTTTTGGTGCTCTTTCGGATCGGCGACTATTATACTGTTATTTAATTCGCTATTCATTTCAATGCATTTTGTGTTAAAAATGGTCTACAATTATATACTAGTATTAGATTTGACACTATTTTTAATCATAATATTTTCAGCCTCTGAACTAAACACCGAGGCTAATAAATCTTACAATTTAATGAATTCAATTATGGCTATAAATGGTGTCCAGAAAAGGTGTATTAATCTGGCTCACAAATTTAAAGTATGAACATTTATAATTTATATATATTCCGTAATGATAAATTAATAATTTTTAAACTTTGCCTAGCTAAGCGATGTAATCGAAAGAATGGCCAAGAAATATGTTGGTTTCACGTGTTGGAAGTTGTTTACTATTAATTACTTTCGATGTTATGAGGTTAGTGACAATTTTAAATAATGTAATATTAATTATATTTAATTATATTTTTACAGATAAGTAGAGGATTAGCTCGTTGCGAAAATAAACAATTTTATCAAGATGCACCTAATAACCAAGATGCACCTAAATCAAGATACACCTAAATATATATCACCTAGTTCAATAACCCATAATTTAATCACTAATATATAAATAAAATAGAAATTACAATCTCAATAAGATAAAAGTGCATTCAAGTTTATATCTGTTAAAAAATTTAATATGTCAAATTATCTATGTATTATTTATAAAATAACTAGATAAAACCAAATTAAACCAATATTTTGAAGATAACTTAATTAGAAAATTAAAGACCAGAATATTGCACTAAAAAATAAACATGCATGCATTCATTTAAAAATAAATTCTCACAAAAATAATCTAGATAAAAATTAAAAGTTCATTAACTTTACACACTTATTTACTTTATAAAACTATTTAAGAAACAGAAAATGTAATTTTTTTATTAATTATCTCTCAATATTTTTTGTTAAAAATTAAAATGCAACGTCTCCCAAGTACCCGTACCAGGTCATATACCCGTTGTGGTGCAGTAACAAAATCAAATTTCTTAAGAAATGATTGCATCGACCCGAGCATGTAAGTATTATTAATTAATTAATTAATTAATTAACTTATATAAATTTTTTAATTTAGTAAACATACTTGCTTAATTTGCACGAAAACTAAGAAAATGCGTTGGATGTTGAAGCACGTATGTGGGCAACTGTTTTGCATCCCGTGCTTTCAAAGGACCAAAGCATATGATAGGGATTGCCACGATGTCACCCAGGTGATTAGTTTAGACGCCGGATATGATAACTACGCCAAATGTCCATTTTGCCGGGGTCGTATGTCCACAATCTTCCCCCGACCCAATAAATCAGCATGGACCTGGAATGACCACTACAGGTATTTAATTAAAATAATTTTAAAAATAACCTTGCTAAAATTAATTATATAATATTTATAAATTAGACGTGTCCTTGCCGAAGTATACGCGGCACTCCCCGTCTATGAAGCACCAGGGACACATAGCACACAACAGGAATCACAAGTTTTAATACCGGATTCCCCTGAATATATCGGGAATATTCCGGTAGTGAATGTACCAAGTACTGTTATGGAGCAGCCAGCTTTAATAGATCTTGGTGATTTGAGCCCTTTGTTTGACCAAGAAAATGAGGTATGTATTTAAATATTTAAATTAAAATAATAAATTTAATAAATTTTTAATAATTAGCAGGATGACATGCAAGTTAGTGGCGTAATGGATTACAATGTGTGGTATGATCCGTTAATAGATAATGATATTCTTGAGCTTGATGCTTTAACTTTTAATTAAATAAAATAAATATAACTGTAGAATTTTAATAAATAAATAAAAATATTTTAAAATGTAAACATAACTTACAAATTATTTAAATCAAATTAAAAAGTTAATTAAATTATGTTAGATGGGTATTATTTTACAAAGTAAATTATAGATTGCTATTAAAATATAAAAATTATTTTGAAAAACTGAAAAACTTTTGGGTATTGCTGAACTGCCCCCCCCCCTATTTCGT